AAGGGCGGACTCACAGACAGACGTAGGGGAAAGGGCAGACTCAAAGACAGCCAAACAGGCCGAAGAGAGCAGTTTGCTTTTGTGTCTAACAGCCGAGGAGCTCGAGTCTAGCGCTCGAGGAAAAACCAGGGATGTCGCACATTCCAACCGAATAGCTCAGTCGTTCACTGGCGAGCTGGGCGTCTCTCGTTTTTTACGCTCATTTTCGTCAACTTCAATCTTGATTCATAAATGTCATGTGTATTGTTTATTTTCATACTTTTTGCGTGTTTCCGCAAACCTGTCTTGATTTATTAACATGATTATGTGCATTATTTTCAAATTTGATTGGTTTTCCATTCACTTCTGACCCTAAGTAAGCTTTATCTTATCTTATATATTCAGCGCATCAATACTTTTCTAGATTGCTGTCAAGAATGCCACAAACTTATTCACACTGAACTGTGTACGCAATAAATCATAAATCGTGCAAAGTGCGCATGACTGCAGCGTCATTGCTCATGACTGATCAGTGAAAATTTGTTTGGATAAAATGTTTACTTTGTTGCAGGGTGATTTATTACGATGCCCACCTTCTGAATAACTCCGGCCACTTTCATACTAATATGCAATACCATATGTGGGATTCTTGCAAAAGTCTGGATATGCAAGCGGGAAAAATATTTCAATCTTGGTAGAACCAGCGAATTCTTCCTCATAGCTGTCATATGTATGATTTTTATGTCTAGGCTATAGTTATTATATATAACCAAATCGATGACTGCATAATGCATTGAATACAATTGTATTTATGGATGTGTGAGCATGCACGGTGTTTGTGTGAATATACGTTTGTATGTGTATAGGAGTAAATGTATGAAATGAACGAATTGAAAACTAAAATTCTTTAAACAAATGGTTACTGCTTTTAACAAATATCTGCGCTAAACATCAAAGGTTACATTGCACTACGGTAAAGTATTGGGGAGAAAGTTGTTCCTTATTAGAACATGAAGCACAAGCACAGTAACGTGTACATAAAGAAAATAAAACAGCCACCATGAGAACTGAAAATAATTATAACGTTTCGAACTCTTCACGATCTCCTCTTCAGACATTTCGGTTTTGTCTGAAGACAAACTCGTGAAGAGTTCGAAACGTTACATCATTTTCAATTCCCATTGTGGCGGTTTTAATTTTTATGATGTCTTAGGTTTCAATGGTCATTCTTTACACAAGACTTAGTTCCTATGAAAATCTACATATTAGGGATAACAGGCGGAAAGAAACACTTTTAAATTTGGTCCATTTTATTATCAAATGGCACGTGTATATCACAAGGGGAGTACAATAAAAATACTTGAGCTATGCAACCTCCTTCGGCACTGATTAAAAACCACTATTGATCTTTATTGGCACAATAAAACGATTTGAAAAAATCATATAACAAAAAAAAAATACATCCAAGGCCCTATATACTTCCTCTTTATCGCATAAACAAAATTAAAAGAAAAGAAAAATAAATACGTTTTTTTCACTCAAGAACACAGTCCAACACGTGAAGGTTTCCAAGCAGTCTTTACTTATTTGGCTTAACGTTATCTTTCCAACCTGAAACACTTGGCTGCACTTCACTACCCTGACTTCCCAAACGTTTGTTATTCTGAGGTTTTGGCACTTCGTTGCATCTGTATTTGGAAGATCAGTTGTACAAAAAAGTGTAAAAAAATGATATTGAATGGTTATAAAAATGCTTATAAAATAGGTTTATTTTCTCTTTTTCTTTCTCTCTCTCTTTTAAAAACTGCCCTCAATAAGAAAGCCAACAGTAACAAGAAATAAAAACTTTTTTATTTACTCTTCATGTACGGATGTTACACGCAGTTCGTGTGGAAGAAAGGAGCAAGGGGACTGGGGAGAAGGGGGAACCGGGAGGGGAGGATGGAGGGGAGAGGGGGGGTAGGGGAAGGGGGTGATGTCCATCATAACAAGAAAAAAAAGCAGCCTAGATTGTACAGCTCCTGAGATGTTGGGTGCGTTATGGCACTAGTTTACAGTAGGGCACAGCTTGGCACTCCGGGGGCTAGCTGGGTTGGGCACGGCGGAGAGGCTCAGGGCGTGACAGAAGGGAGGGGGAGGGGGCCGGGAGATCCAGGGCGCCTGCGACACATCCTCTCGGCGACCTCCTCCTCCTTATCATCTCGTAAGGCACAAGTGGTAGAGGGAGAAGTGGGGGAGTGATAGGGGGGGAAAGATGTGGGGGGAGTTCCGGGTTGATGACGAGGGGGTTAAAGAGTCCACCGGGGGAGAGGTGCCCCCTCCGGCGGTAAGGCACAAGTTGCACCATCAACCTTTTTTCCATATTCACTGTCCATTGTGTACAACGGCCGCGGCGAGTACCCCGAGGTACTGGCCGGCCGGACTGAGAGGCGTCGAAGGAGACGGCGAGGAAGAGGCCAAGTTTGAACTAGCGCTGAGTGTGTGCGGGTGAGGGGGGGAGGGGGTGGGGGCCCTGATGACCCGTTAGTTCTTTTAAACTACAGTGAAAAGATAATGAAAAAATGCATTATTCTGGGTCCCGCATCCACCCGTGACCTCACCCCAAAGGAGGTCATGTCAGGACAACACAGGTGATACAGGCACTTAAACTTAACAGCTCTAAGTCATGTACAACTATTTACATAAGGCATTCATTTCTGTATTTTTTAAAAAACAAATTAGAATCGAGTTCCATTAAGCATACGAAAAAACATTCTCATTCCCTCTTCACAAGACATTATATAAAAAAACACACCAAAAGACACACCCTGTTGGTCAATGGAATGGCCGCGTCAAGAACATACAACACACAACGAAAGGCATGTCCACGTCACTGCAACACTGGCCAATGGTCAACTGGTCTCACTTTAGGAATGTTGAACGAATGACGTCATTATTCTGCAATATCACAGTTCAATAATCCAACAACGATTGCAAAATAACACTTACATTTCATTTTTTATCACTTATCACTATGATTGTTACATTATTAATTGGATGATTATAAATTTTTCTACCAAACAAATAATCAACAGAAAAAAAAACATTTGACTTCTCTCAGAAAAAGTCTTTTTTCAAACACAAGGCGCTGGTGGTGATGATGATGAGATGAGCGAGAAAAATTTCCTTCCAAAAAGAATAACACTCCTATAAGGAGTTTACATAATGAGGATCATCTTAACTAAATGAAATGATGAGAAGCGAATGGTGGGGTCGATGCCAGCTGATATACTGATTGTCATGTTTCGCAAGAGGCATTGGATAGGAGTCGGTTCATTTCCCAGGAGAGGTTTTGCTTTGGAGTAAAATCAAAATCACGGGTGAACTGCACAACCACACTGGAAATCACTGCGTGGTGTCTGGGCGCTGCAGCACACTGCGGGTGAAGGGCAAGGGGCTTGGGGCTAGACTCCGAGTAGAACTCCCGTGCAAGTGAGGACACGTTCAGTTCTATTCCGAGAAACTTTGAAATATTAAAGACTTGGATTTGTTTAAGTTAAAAAAAACAAGTAAGTCGACTCATATCGACTGATTTTGGACCAATATACAAAAGAATCAATGACGCTAACAGATTCAATCTAATCAAAATATTTTTGATAGAAAAAATAAATATCACTAAATACAACTACTTCACAACACCATCCGCTTCACCACACAGCTACTGATGAGAAAGTAAAACCACAAAGAAATTAACCCCAGAAGAATTTCCGGGCTTACATGGATGCGAAAAATGCCTCTTGAACAATCAACTGGGACAAAAGATGAATGAGAGCGACTGTTGTTAAAAATACTCGATAAACCTACAATGAAAGCACCGTAGGGAAGTAGACGCCGACTGTAACGTCTGCATACGTCTTCCAAATACACGGTTACAGAATGCGTCATTCTGCGGGATGCCCATTAACTTAGAAAAAAATATATATCAAGGCCCAACATTGGCACCACTGAGTGGGGTCGGCTCCTCTTCTAACATGAGCTCGGGTGAGTTGGCACTGGTTGTCGAAACAAACAAACTGTACTACCTAAGCCTAACACTTTCAAGTAAAACGGTGGGCTTAGTTAGTGTAAGAGCTTCTCTTTTGCTGTCCACTGATACACAGAACAAACAAACAAATGCCCAGCAGTCATTGGCTTTTTGTGACCTTGTCAAGTGTGAGAATAATCCCATGTCTATAGACAGGACTGACAAACATTTTACAAATAATCCAAGAAAAATCGTCAAATACCCATAATTACATTAAAATAGTCATTAGTAAAATCTATTAGAAAGTCAACATGATTGGTGGAGGTTCACGGGCAGGACGCCTTGAGGCTCAGGTCCACCTGGTCCTTCGTCCACGCCTCCGCCTCTGCCGAACGGGCGCGGGAAGCCGGTTCCTCGCGTCCTATTTGTACTGAGTCTACAGGACCGCATCCTGAAGGCACAAGCAACTCGACCACATAGCCTACGGATCTCTAGGCCCCAGCAGGGCTACCTCGGCGGCAGGTTGCTGGCACTGGACGTGGCGGTGGGGGGCGTCGAGCGTGGGGAGTGGGCAGGGCGGGGGGCGGGGACGGCCTCAGGTCATTGGAGGACGGGCACGGTGGCGCTCTTCTCGGTGGGCGACGCAAGGGCCGAGAAGTCGAACGTCGTCGACGACAGCAGCGGCGACACGACGGGCGGCGGCAGGTGCGAGTACTGCGGCAGCGCCGGGAACGTGAAGTGGTGGTGGCTGCGCGGCGAGCCGTAATGCGGGCTCAGGTTGGCCAGCGGGCTCAGGCTCGGCCACAGGTGCAGCGGCAGGTACGGCGACTTGGTGCCCACGCCGCTGTACGGCGGCGACGGCAGGTTCACCAGCGGCGTGTTGAGGCTCGAGGCCGAGAACTGGCGCGGCGACAGCACGGGCGGCGACCCCGTGATGGCCTCGATGGACAGCGGCGAGGGCTTGGGCTTGGGTCCCGAGCGCCCCTTGGCCGCCGCCGCTGCCTTGCTACCCGCCGTCGACAGCGACGCCGACGACGACGCCGACAGCGACGCCACGCTCAGCGCCGGCTTCTGCTCGCGCACGGGCGGGGGCGTGAGGGGGGATAGGGGCGGCGGCGAGGGCAGGGGGGATCGTGGGCGGATGGGCGAGCGCAGGCGGGGCACGGGCGAGTGCGCGTACGGCGACTGCGAGCGAGGCGAGCGCGAGCGCGGGCGCCGCTGCTCCTCCTCGCGGCGGCGCTCCTCCGCCTCCTCCTCGCGGCGCCTGCGGCTCGCCTCCTCCGTGACCAGGTGCAGCGGCGCCGAGGGCAGGCCGTCGCCGGAGTCCTCCGAGGGCGGCGACGGCGACCGCTGGCCGAGGTCCGGCGGCCACAGCGTGTTCTGCGGCTGGCTGGGGGCGGGCGCCTCGGGCTCGGGCCTCCGGGCGAGGGCCGACAGGTAGCCCCCGAGGCTGGCGGCCGCCATCTGGGAGAAGGCGGCGGCGGTGTACATGTGCGCCAGAGGACCTGAGGAAGTACAGCGATTAGGATCCGTTCGGGCTTCTGCGCCAAGAAGAGGAAATGCATTCAATATAGACAATGTAACAACCTCACTGGACTTCGTGGGTCAAGTCCAGATGAACCATAAACTCGCGCCTTACCTAATGATGGGTATGAGCCTATGTGCGCCGGGGGCGGCGTGGTGAGGGGATGTGTGGGCGCGTGGGCGGGTGAGGGCAGCCTGGAGCTGCCCTGGTGGCTGCTGGAGGGTGAGGGCGCGCCGGGCTGCAGGCCGGAGCCGCCGGGGGAATAGGGTGACATGCCGCCTCCTGCCGGGGGCTTGGCACTGCTGTTGCTGCCCAGGCTCTCCATCTTGACGTGGAACGGAATCTTGTTCTCCATCTTGACGATCTCGGGGAAGGAGACGAACCTGCAAGGCGAAGAGAGGTTAACGCGGGCGGAGAGAGAGGAGAGAGAGAGAAAAGAGAGAAAAGAGAAGAGAAGAGAAGAGAGAGAAAAGAAGAAGAGAGAGAGAAAGAGAAAGAGAGAAAAGAGAAGAGAAAGAGAAAAAGAGAGAGAGAGAGAAAAGAGAAGAGAAGAGAAGAGAGAGAGGGAAAAAGACGATTAAAAAAGAAAAAAGAGGAAGTAGAAAAGAAACAAAATAGGAAAAAAAGAAAAGAAAGACAGACCCGACCGTGGGTTCCCCAGCAGAGTACAACGTGCGGTGCCAGCCCAGTAGTCTAGGATATAGCAATTGCCCCCAAGGTCAGCGTGCAAGGCGACCGTTTCCCCGTGCGTGTATGAGCTGCGGGGGAAGGGGGAAAGGAGAGGGGAAGGGGGAAGAGAAAGAGGAAGGGGAAGAGAAGAGGAGGGGGAGGGAGAAGAGAAAGGGGGGGAGGGAGAAGAGAGGGGAGGGGGAAGAGGAAAGGGGGAGGAGAAGAGGGGGAGGGGGAGGGGGGGGGGATGGGGAAAAGGAAGGGGGATAGGGGAAGGGTGGGAAAGGGAGGGGGAGAGGGGGAAGGGGAGGGGAATGGAATGAAAGAGGGAGGAGGGAGAAATGATGGGAGATGGGATGAAATGGAAGAGGGAAGGAGGGAGGGAGGGAGAAATGAGGATGGAATGACACAACAAGAGAGAGAAGGGATCGCAGAAGGGGATGGAATAAAAAAAGGGGGGGAAAGAATGGGAGAGAGGGAGAGGAATATAAGAGAGGAGAGGCGAGAGAAGGAGTAGGGGGCGGGGCAGTGGGATAAAGTAGAAGATAGAATGAAAAGAAAAAAGGAAATATAATGAAAGATAAATTATACAAAGATAGAAAAGAAAAGAAAAGAAAAACGAACGAGACAGGTAATAGGGAAGAAAAAGCTTAAACGAGAGAGGAGGATCCACAGAGATAAAATGACGCAAGAGAGAGAGAGAGAGAGTAGAGAGAGAGAGAGAGAGAGAGAGAGAGAGAGAGAGAGAGAGAGAGAGAGAGAGAGAGAGAGAGAGAGAGAGAGAGAGAGAGAGAGAGAGAGAGAGAGAGAGAGAGAGAAGAGAGAGAGAGAGAGGAGAGAGAGAGAGAGAGAGAGAGAGAGAGAGAGAGAGAGAGAGAGAGAGAGAGAGAGAGAGAGAGAGAGAGAGAGAGAGAGAGAGAGAGAGAGAGAGAGAGAGAGAGAGAGAGAGAGAGAGAGAGAGAGAGAGAGAGAGAGAGAGAGAGAGAGAGAGAGAGAGAGAGAGAGAGAGAGAGAGAGAGAGAGAGAGAGAGAGAGAGAGAGAGAGAAGAGAGAGAGAGAGAGAAGAGAGAGCCGAGCCTCCTCCGCACGGACGTCAATCCGGCAGATCCTGTTGGGCGTTTTACCTGATCATCGAGCGGGCGCAGTTGGCCGCTTCCTGGTCCGTCTTCCCCTCCCCCTCCATCCCCCCTCCCCCCCCCTCTATTCCCCTCCAGTTCCCCCCACCCACCCATCCTCTATCCTCCTCCCCCCCTCCATCCTCTATCTTCCTCTCCCCCTCTCCTCCTCCCTCCATTCTCTATCCTCTCCCCCCCCATACCATCAGCCTCCTTCCTCCTTCACCCCTCCCTCTCCCCTCTCCCCTCTCCCCTATACCGCCAGCCTAACCCCTCCCCCTCCCCCTCCCAATACAACCTTAAATTTCAATATCATATTTGATTTTTTTTTTTTCCGCAGCCTTGATTTTTTCCCCTCTCCTCCTTCCTTCCTCCTATTCCCTCCCCACCCCTATTTCACTAGCACCCCCCGCCCCCTCCACTCCTCTCCCCCACCCCCGCTGTGTACTCAAAAATCATATGAATAAATCTACCCCACCCTTAAAAAAAAAAAAAAAAAAAAAAAAAAAAAAAATAATAATAATAATATAAATAAATAAATAAAAACTAACAGAAAGTAAGATGAAGAAGAAAAGGGAAAAAAAAAACGTTATCTCGAGTTCCCTGGAGACTGGAGCGGCCGCTGCGGGAGAGGTTTCGTCTCGGAGACAAAGCGACAGATAGAGATAGAGAATTTTTTGAGAATTGACTCGCTGGGATTTCCGCCGCGCTCTTATCTCTCCTCCGTACCCCCTCCCCCCTCCTCCTCCCATTCCACTATCTCCTGACCCCTGCTTTCCCCCCCACCTCCCTATCTTCTTCCCCCATTCTCCTTGCTCTAAACACTTGCTCTTCCTATCCTCTTCTTCTTATTTTCCTATATACTCTTATCCCCTCCTCTCTGCCTTTGCTCCTATTCCTGCCCGTTATTTTCCCCTTCCCCTTCCTCTTCACTCTTTCCCCATTATCTCTGACTATCCTCGTCTCTATCCCCCTTATCCTTATTCCACTTGCCGACCCTAAAATCTGGCCCATATCCTCTTCCTCATCCATGACCCCCACCCTTAACTCCTCCCTCTTACCCCTACCTAAACCCGCGACCCCAACCCCCTACCCTTCCCTTCGTCGTTAACTTCAACCTTTAAATCTTTATCTCTAATCTCTAAATCCATTTGGCTTTCCCTTTTTCGAAATTAAAAGATCAGTTTCGAGAACATGTATGAAACATTGCTTTCCCCGATTCTCAAGAAAACATGTATATAGCCTTTCTGTTTCCTGATAGAAAGAAAATTAAAAGAAAAAAAATCGGTTGTATAAAAATTCTAACAGTGCATTCGCAGTTACGATCAACACGATCAACTCTTCAAATCATATCTGTTCGTAATCATCTATTTTTTCCTCGTCCTCTCCCAAAACCCAGGAAAGGACCGCCGCAATCCTTTCATCCACTTATTTACTCCTATTTTTACCTCGTCCTGTTTACCAGGCCAATTATTCTGCTGACGTCAGAGCCACCGCCAGCTTTTACCCTGACCGGTTGTTATCGGGCCTTATCAGCCGGGCGCTATCAGGGGCCTTATCGCAATCACATCCGCTGCCACCAACAAAACACTCCAGGCCGTCACCTGAGCCCAAGGACGGACTCAAGCACTCGCGCCCGCGGCCAGCGCCTCCGCGGCCGGACGGGGGCGGGCGCGCTCGGGCTGCCGTGTGCCGGGAACCAGATTTTCGTCATCATTACGATCATTGTCTTCATTACTAGTCTCACTGTTGTTGTCATCATCTTCATAAACAATACTATTTAATTATCCCCATATCTTAACGTCTGTCTTGGGCGAAATGGGGCCGGGTCCAATCGGGAATTTCTTCGTCTTTCTTTGGCTCTCCTTCTACCTCCTGCTGGAGTCCTGACGCCCCCCCCCCTCCCCTCCACCTCCGCCGGGGGAGAGGAGCCGAAGAGGAGGAGCAGCCCCGTCGACTTCCTCTTTATCCCCGTTTGTCTAAATTTAATTCCCTTATCAGGGCCTCGCTGTCCCGCTTACGAAACGTCCGCCACGTAGGTTCGGCGGATGGCAAGAGCAAGTCCCCTCCCCGGCCATGCGCAAGTCTTTAGGGCCCAACGGAGTCTGCGGCGCTTGGAGCCTCCCTCCTGACGACCCTGCAGGAGTGGCTCGAGTTCGCTCCTACTCCCCCTTTGCTCTTTCCCCGAGAGAGAGAGAGAGAGAGAGAGAGAGAGAGAGAGAGAGAGAGAGAGAGAGAGAGAGAGAGAGAGAGAGAGAGAGAGAGAGAGAGAGAGAGAGAGAGAGAGAGAGAGAGAGAGAGAGAGGTATTCCACAATATCAATATCAACAACATTATGAACAAGAATGTCTGCAATGGCAAAGTAGATCAAACTCCCGAAACTAATTCTCTACCGTGCAGAGACCACCTCCACGACCCAACAAAACCAGCCTCCAAACCGGCCTCGAGCAGCTCACCTGTAGACGAACTTCTGTCCGAGCACCTTCTTGATGATGTTCTTGTCGTAGTAGTAGCGCAGCGCCCTGGACAGCTTGTCGTAGTTCATGTTGGTCTTGTTTTTGCGAAGTCCCCAAAGGCGAGCCACCTCCTCCGCGTTGAGCAGCTTGAACTCGCCCTCAGAGTTGGTCCACGTGATGATGTGCTTGTACTGGTTGCTGAGGAGGAGCTCCAGCAGGAACTGCCACAGCGTGATGTTGTTCACCATGCCATCTGCGGGGAGAGGGGGGGGAGGGTGAGTGGGGTGCGACGACGCCGTTAAGGGCTATAGCGATGGTGATGCCGAAGATGGAGGATATCAAGAACGACATAAAAGGATTTGAAAAATAAATCAATAAAAAGATTTAAAAGACATAAAAAGATTTAAAAAACAAATCAATAAAAATAATAAGGTATTCAAATGCTATTACTGAAGCTAATACCGATCACCCCGAAGGCTTTGTCAATGACAAGAGAGTGAGTGACAGCATCAAGAGAGCCGTGGAAGCCGACGGCGACTTCGACGGCGTCAAGTTACCCGTTTAAGAGAAAATCAATCACGAGAGAATAAAAAAAAAATCGACAGACTGAGACACGGGCAAGACACAGACGACGGACATCTTACTCCCGCCCTAGACAGACAGAGGCTGACGCACAGGCACCCTACCCCCAGGCAGACAGCACGAGGACATGTACGCCTCGGTACATCACACACACAGACAGACACAAAAGCGGGGACGTGCACCCGAAATCCCACCCCAGGCAGACAATTGCCAGCACCCCCCTCCACCCCCCCACCCCCACTAGAGCCAGACATAAACGCTGACATCTTATCCCCCGACCACAGACACAGACATGCTGACTTGTCCACCCCTTCCCAGGCCACAGACAGACAAACACAGGCATATGCTGACACGTGCTCCCCTTCCCGCCTACAGACAGACACAGACACATGCTGACACTTCCCCAGACACAGACACACACGCCGATATCCCCCCCCCCCCAGACACCAAGAAGAATGTCACGTCTACCCCTCCCCCTCCCCCTCCCCCCTCCCCCACCCAGAACAGACACACACCCCGACACGTACGCACACAAAACCACTTATATATATATACTTTTTTTTTCTTGCTCTTCCTCTTCGAGATTGCCCGAAGGAGACCATTTTTTATCTTATCTCCGCTGCCAAGCACCGCACACGCGCGTTCGAGTGGGTTGCGCGTGAGTGTGCGCGCACGTGTTCCCTCAGGCAAGTGTGTGTGTGTGTGTGCGTGTGTGTGTGTGTGTGTATGAGCGTAAAAATGTGCGTAAAGAGTTTGCGTATTTGCACGTGTTTGGCGTAATTCTGTTCGAGTGCTCAGTGTCCTTATTGGGCGTGTGTGCGCATGCTGTGTACGTTTGTAAATATATGTGTGTGTGTGTGTGTGTGTGTGTGTGTGTGTGTGTGTGTGTGTGTGTGTGTGTGTGTGTGTGTGTGTGTGTGTGTGTGTGTGTGTGTGTGTGTGTGTGTGTGTGTGTGCCAAAGAATGTGTCAGTTACGAGCCCCTATCCCCCCCTTCGCCCTGACATGTGCCCGGCCGTCAGTCTTGCTTTGAACTCTTTCACTTGATCACGTGCCCAATTCAACTCTTGACCCCCCCTCCCACCTCCTCCCTCCCTCCCTCCCCCCCACAACTCTCCCTCGCTGCGTCGCCTCTAACATCTCCCCCACCCCCCGTTCCCGTCCCCGTCCCCCTCCCCCCCGCTCTGCCCCCTATCCATCTTCCCTCCAGTGCCCATACAACGACAATTTGCATACCCTTATGTCTCTCAACCCCCCCCCCACCCCCTCTCCTACCCGCTGTTAGGCTTTCTTTTATTGCTTCCCTCCCCCCTCCCCCCTTTCCTGGGGGTGAGGATGGAGGAGAGAGAGAGAGAGAGAGAAGGAAGAGAGGAGAAGAGAGAGAGAGAGAGAGAGAGGAGAGAGAGAGAGAGAGAGAGAGAGAGAGAGAGAGAGAGAGAGAGAGAGAGAGAGAGAGAGAGGAGAGAGAGAGGAGAGAGAGGGAGAGAAGAGAGAGAGAGAGAGAGAGAGAGAGAGAGAGAGAGAGAGAGAGAAGAGAAGAGAGAGAGAGAGAGAGAGAGAGAGAGAGAGAGAGAGAGAGAGAGAGAGAGAGAGAGAGAGAGAGAGAGAGAGAGGAGAGAGAGAGAGAGAGAGAGAGAGAGAGAGAGAGAGAGAGAGAGAGAGAGAGAGAGAGAGAGAGAGAAGAGAGGGAGAGGGAGAGAGGGAAGATGGGAGAGAGAGGAGAGGGAGAGAGAGGAGGAGAGGGAGGGAGGGAGGGAGGAGAGAGGAGAGAGGCACGAGAGAGGAGAGAGGGAGAGGAGGGCCGCTGGCACGAAGGGAGGAACCCAAACGAGAGCGACTGGCCGAGGGGCGGTGGAGGAGGCTGAAGAGGGGAGGGCTGGAGGCCGAGAGCCGCGGTGCCAGGGAGGGCGAGGCGGAGGGGGGAGGAGGAGGCCGGAGGCGCGCGGCACAACGAGGCATCTCCGGTGGGCGCTGGGGCGCTGCAGCGTCACGGCGGCCGCCATGCGGGCGGGGGGCGGGAAATGGCAATTGTCGCCCGATTACACCCATTTTGCCAATTACCACACCCATGCACGCCCGCGCCGGCAACCCGCGCCCCTTCGCTCGTCAGCGCGATGGGGGGTCGCTGGGGGCGCGAGGGGGGGGGGGCAGTCCGCCCTCTCGGGTGCCACTCGCGAGGGCGGGAGCCGGCGGCGGAGGGCCTCTCGCGACACGCGGGCTCGAGGCGCTGCGCCCGCGAGTGCCACCTCGAGCATAAAGCTGCCTTCACGAGGCGGGCACTCACTGCAAGGCCAGACCGAGAGCCACATTACTACCATTACAGAGCCACTTACTCGCAGCACATTGCCGGCCCCGCATAAATACCACGACCCCTCCCCCCCCTAAATCAGTACAGTGCCACTACACGCCGCAAAGAGGCACTACCACGCACCATAATGCCACTGAGCGACGCGTCACAATGCCCCGGCGCCCTGCAACGGCACCCTGCAACAATGCGCGAACATTGGATAATGCCATCACAGTTATGTGCCAAAGTCCTCGGAGACGATGCCACGGCACACGACGAGCGGCCGCCGGGTGCCACCGCGCGGGCCGGCGGCGCTGCGGCGGACGCGCTCGCGGTCGAGAGGTCGCGACTGCCGAGGCCGTAGCGGCGGGGACACGCAGGTGCGCCGTCGAGCTCGCACTCAGGCACTCAGGCACGCAGGCACGCAGGAAGGCGTCGCCACGCACTCGCGCTCCCCTTCAGATGGAAGCACGCACACAAGCGCACACTTGTCTGTCCTCTCTCTCTCTCTCTCTCTCTCTCTCTCTCTCTCTCTCTCTCTCCTCTCTCTCTCTCTCTCTATGTCCTCTTCAACCCCCCCACCCCTGGCCCTCCATCTCGCTTTCTTCACTACTTTCTGTACATCTACTTTCCTTACTCTCTTCCTACCCACCTCTTTCGTCCCCAACTCCTCTGTCCCTCCTTCCCTGCATCTACCCTCCCACGCCTCTCCTTCCCTCCTGCTCTCTCTCCTCTCCCCTCTCCCTCCCCTTCCATCCGTCTTCCCCCTTCCCTTCCCCCTCCCCCATTTATTCCCTCCCTCCTTCCCCTCTCCTCCTTCCCCCCCCATTCATTCCCTCCCTCCCCCCTCCCTTCCTTCTCCCCCCAACCCCCACCCCCCCAACCCAGCCCGGCAGACGTTAGCCATAACCGCCAAGGAACCTTAAACTATCACTATCACTTGCCAGCCCCAATTGTGTCGGGGCCTCTCTTGCAAGATGATGCAGGTACTGGACGCCCAAGGGGGTGAGGAGGGGAGGAGGAGGGGGGGGAAGAGAAGAGGAGAGGGTAAAGGGGAGGAGGGGGAAGAGAGGAGAGGAAAGAGGGTAAGGGAGGAGGGAGGAATGAAAGGAGGAAGCAGGGAGGAGGGGGAGGAATGAAGGAGGGAAGCAGGGAGGAGGGAGGAATGAGGAGGGCAGGAGAGGGGAGGAATGAAGGAGGAAGCAGGAGAGGGGAGGAAAGGAGGAAAGCAGGGGAGGAGGGGGAGGAATGAAGGAGGAAAGCAGGGAGGGGGGGAGGAATGATAAGGAATGAAGGAGGAGCAGGAGGAGGGAGAATGAGGAGAAAGCAAGCAGGAGGAGGGGAGGAATGATGGAGGAAATGAGAGGGAGGAATGAAGGAAAGCCAGGGAGGAGGGGAGGAAGAAGGATGGAAAGCAGGAGGAGGAATGAGGAAGCAGGGAGGAGGGGAGAATGGAAATGAGGGAAGCAGGAGGAGGGGGAGGAATGAAGGAGGGAGGAGGAGAAGGAGGAGAGGAGGAGGAGGAGGAGAGGAGGAGAAGGGGGAGAGGAGAGGAAAGGGATAAGGGGGATTAAGGGGGGAGGAAGGAAAGTAATAAAGTGGAGGAGGAGGTGGAGGTGGAATAGGGATAACGGGGGAGGAGGAGGAGGGGGAAGGGATAAAGGGGGAGGAGGAAGAAGAAACAAGAGGAGGGAGAAGGGAGAGGGACAAAGGGGAGAGGAGGTGGAAGAATGAGAGGAGAAGAGGGCAAGAAAGAGGAAATAATGGGAGAGGAAGAGAAAATGATAGGGTGAAAAGGAAGGAAGGAAAAGAGGAGAGTGGGGAAAGAAAGGATGAGGGAAGGAGAGAGAAGAAATGCGCAAAAGGCAAGAAGAAATGGAGGGGAGTAGGAGGAGAAAAGAAAAGGGAAAGAATAAGGAAGAGGTGGTGGGTAGGAGGAGGGCACGGGAAGAGGGGAAGAGGAGGGAGGGAAGGGAAGGGAGAGAAACCGAGGAGGGAAGGGAAGGGAGAAACCGAGGAGGGAAAGGGAGGGGAAAAAAGAAAAGGAAGAGGAAGAGGAAAGCATAAACAGCGACGGCGAGGGCGGCTAGCAACCCCCTCCCCCCCCCCTCCCCCCGCAGCGCCCCCTCCGCATCCGTCAAATTAGGGCGAGCGGGGACGGCCAGCCAGCAGCGCCCGTCATTACCCGCCCATCAACATCGCAACGATCACCATAACTCAAACCATCATCCTCCCTCACGCCCATGCCTAGCCCTCGCGCCCACGCCTAGCCCTCCGCCCACACTCTGCCCCCGCGCCCACGCCAAGCCCCCGCGCCCACACACTCCCCCACGCCCACACAAAAACCCTCACGACCACACAAAAGCCCTCACGCCCACGCCAAGC